CGGGGCAGCGGGGGCGCTGCGGGGTTGGCCCCCTAGCTGCTCTACCCCCCCTGCTGCTGAAACTGATCAGCAGCTGATTCCAGGAAGCCGGGGGCAAAGCAGCTCTGCCTCGGGCTTCCTGTAGTCAACCGCTGGTCAGTTTCAGCAGCGGCTGAATCGGGGACACCTGGGGTACCCGACTTACGTACAAATTCAACTTAAGAACAAACCTACAGTCCCTATCTTGTACGTAATCCGGGGACTGCCTGTATAAAAATCGCATGTCTAAAAAGTCATCACTGCCCCCCCCTCCCAGTCTGCTGTTGGGAATAGGGACATAGTTTAATTGTACTGCCTTGAGCTTGGTAAATCCTAAGGACATCCCTGATCACTTGAAACATGCTTTGGGACCATGTGGACACAACAAAAGTCAGAAGTAAAGTCACTGAACTAAGCTTTTCAAATTACCTCTATGAACTCAATTACCTGTCCCGAATTACTTTGATAATCTGGCAGTAATCAACCTATAGGTCTTAAATTGTAGACCTAGGTTAATATTATCAAGAGGGCCTGAATGATTTAGGAGCCTAAGTCCCAAAATGAAACTTGGAAAAATAAGAGTTGGCATCATAAGTCACTTTGAAGCCTGTGAAAATTCTACCCTAGTCTGACTGAGGTCATGAGTCATAGTGGGGCTCTGGGCTTCTGCATTTGAAATGGCAACTCAGACACACGGATGTCTGCTAGCTTTGGGCAATTAATGCTACAGGTTCATTATGTATCAGGTAAGAGACATCATTGCTTTTTGCATATTGTCTTTCAGCTTCACTGAACATGCCCTTGTTCTTGTCTTATGAGAAGGGGTAAATGGATGCATTCTATTAACCATTCTATCGCATTCAGTATGGATCTCTCTCTCTCCCTCTCTCCTCCCTCCTCCAGCTCCTTTAAACAACTCCAAGTTTTCAGTCTCTCCCAGTCCCTAATTGTTTTCCTTGCCTGTATCTGAACTCCCCCGCCCCTCCAGTTCTGCTATGTCCCTTTTCAGAGAAGGTGACCAGAACTGAAAGAAGTATTCCACATGAGAACACACTGTTGATTTATCACAGCATCACAATAGTCTCAGTATTATTCTCACCCCCATTATTTGGTTTGTATGATGCTGCAGACTGAATAGCAGCTTTCACTGAGAGGTCTATAATGAGCCTTGCAGCTTTTTTCCTGAGTGATTACAGCTAATTCAGTACCCAAATCATTGCTTCCATTGTGCAATTACTGCTACCTTGTATTTGTCGACACTGAATATCATCTGCCATCATGTGGCTTGTTCACATAGGTTGCCTAGGTTTCTTTGAGGCTCTTTCATCACCTCTGATTTAAAGAATTTTATATGAACTACTAGCTTTGCCACCTCTCTGCTCACCCTCCCTTCCCAATCACTAATATAAAACAGCACCCATTCTAGCCTGGACCATTCAGGCACCCTGCATTAAAGTTTCACCATGGTGCAAATTGATCATTGCTCCTAGTCTTAGCCAGTTTCTATTCACAGTAGTATTTTGCACCTCATGTCATTATTATATGTATTGTTCTAGACCAGGGGCGGGGAACTTAAGGCCCAGGGGCCAGAGCTGCCTCTGGCTTGCCTGGATCTGTGTCCCAAGGCTCGGGGCTCCCCCACCACCGCTCAAGATTGGGACATCCAAGCTGGTGCTCCAGCCCCTCCCCCCCATTGTTCCTCCATGGGGCTGGAGCACACAAAATATATTAGCCTGACCTGCCCTCCTCCCCCAGGCTCTGGTGTGCGAGGGAAACATGGGCTATATCCACAAAATATATTAGCCTGACCCGCCCTCCTCCCCCAGGCTCTGGTGTGCGAGGGAAACATGGGCTATATCTTTTTTCTTCTCAGTCAGGGGTTTAGGTTATTATTATTATTGTTGGATTGTTGGTTTTTTTTTTTTTTTGCTTCTCACTTGTGTGCCACCCCTGACTGATTTTTCTGTGGGTCAGCAGCCCCTGACCCAAAAAAGGTTCCCCACCCCTGTTCTAGGGCTAGGATCTACAATCACAAAGCAGGATCCCATCTCAGTAGGTATTGTACAAATACAGAACAAAGATAGCTCCTGCACCAGAGAACTTACTATCTATGCAATCATAATCACTTTTATTCCTTACTAGCCTCTTGGGAAGGAAATTGTCACAGGCTTTTGAAAGTTTGTCTCAACCAGCCCTCCTTGGATCATATTATATTGACAAGCTCAAGGAATTTCTACTTGACTGGAGAGATATCCCTTTTCTGAAACTGTATTTGGTTTATTCCCATCATACCATATTAATCCAAATGTTTTATAACTATCTTTACTCACCATCTCAAATAATAATTTCCCTGCTTCTAAAATGAAGTTTACAGTCTAACTTCTAGGCTCACCCTAGGAGTTAAAACAATGAAATTAAGACAGGTATACCTGCTAGCTTTCAGGATAGCAGTTGATTTTAATGAGCGATTGCAGAATTTTCTTAGTTGCTCTGCAATTTTATTCTCAAATTCTTTCAGAACTCTTAGGTACAACTATCCATTACTAGTAACTTTTGCATTTAATTTCTCAATTGGTTCCAGAACCTTCTCTTGACATCTCAGTGTCTGAGTGAACCTAATACCCACTCTTGTCAGGCAGTCAGTATCTCCCAAATATAGTCTGTGGTAAAGACAGAGGGAAAGAATAAATGTTCTGTTTCTGCCATGCTCATATCCTATTTAATTGGTTCAACAGACTTACTGACTCTCCTGATGGCTTCTTGCTTCTGTTACACTTAAGAATTTTTTATTTGGCATTATAATTTTGGCCATTTGTTCTTCAAATTCTATCTTACCCTCCTAATTTCTTTCCTACATATCATCAACTGCTGTCAGCTTCACTAGGAACAGATTTCCATTTACTGAAGGATACTCCTTTGGGTTGAATAAATGGCCCAGCCCAGCCCTGCCATTTAGCCATACTAGTTTATTTCTTCCTGCTTCATTTTCGGTTTGGGGGTATTTATGCCCTTTGTAGTTGTGTTATGGTTGATTATTTAAGCTCTATACTAGCTCAAAGAATTTTAATTACCTGACTTCTGAAAGGCCTTCCTAGCCAGGTTCATCATTTCCCACCCTTTTCTGAAGGATAAAAGGTACCTAAAAGTAGAAGTGTGCTAAACTTCAAAAGGAAAGTGTAATTATACTGTAGCCACTATTACATTGGGGTTTATCTATAGTAATTTAGTGAATCAGCCTACATTTTATAATGTTTAACTCATTCTGAGAAAAGCTAAAAAGACTGTTTGGCTCCCTAATGTTCTGAACAACAAAGAATTTATAGGGACCTCTACAATGACAGGAGTATTTAAATTTGGTCATTAACTTAACTGCTCTGTCATGGAAACAGACCTGGAATCAGACTGATTTTGTGGTTACATCACAGCTTTTGCAGTAAAAAAAACAAAAACAAAAACCCCACAGTCTGGCAACTCTCCAGAACTAGGAACTGCTCATCAACCCAACCCAGATGTCATCTTTTATCATGCACTAGCAATTTGGACCCTGTCTAAGTTTTGCTGCACCAATTTATTACAATCCAGCAAGAGCCTGTGTTAAGTACTTAATGCCTTTTCTCTTCAGCCTTTCTCTGAAAGGTAGAGTGGTAATGTTCTTGTGAGTTACATGTGACAAACATCATTCTGGATCCCTAAGTAACTCTCAATTGGTTTCTGAAAAAAAAAAACCAAACGTTTAAAGCCATGGGAGCTTTGACACTGATGACTGTCACCCAATGAGCCATTATATACAACTATAAATGTACACCCCAAATTAAATTCTGTCACATGGCTTAGGGAAGTCTGACAAATCTATTAGCTCAAGATGTAGCTCTGGAAAGGAAAAGCTCTGGTGTATTTTACTAAGGTTCAGGAGCCTTTATATGGCTTTGTACACTCCTCTGTAATTACCCTATGGGTATCTCTGTAAGTGCTGCAATTACAGTTATTCATCTTCCCTTCTGCAAAGGTATCTCAGCAGATCGATTGGTACTTGACTGAGGAGCTGTTCTTTTTGCTGTCTCCACAGCACTTTTACATTGCTGGTTTTAATCTTTTGTCCATAGGCTAACATACTTGGCATAAAATGGTGATAATAGGTATCTGCTGCATGCCTGCTTATTGGTCAGGTTTTTCAAGACCCCAAAAAACTCAGTTTTTTTAAAAAAAATATTCCACTTTTATTATTTTCTCAAGGTAGAAGAGCTCTGATTATATCCTGCCTGATCCTTACTCACCCTGCAGGCAAGCTTGTAGCAGCAGTGTGTGAAGAAGAACAAAACATTATTATGGGGCGCTCTTGGGTGCCTACTGCCTCTACCAATAACATCCCAATCTTCCCTTATCCAAGAGAATGGAATTGCCATAGAGTCTACACGAGAGTAGCTGAGAGAATTGGCATTACCGTCAGACTGCAAATATTCTCTTCCGCGGTGTGCTTCTGTCGCACAAAGTTCTCCATCTCTCTCTGGTGAGCTCGCAGCGCATTTTCAAGATGTTTCTAAGAAGGAAAAATAAAAGGAGACCATTTCACTACTCTGCTGCTTTCTAGTTTAGTGAAGCAGCCTACATACATGGCACTGACTCTAGAAGCAGCTGTTTAAACACAAGACAAAAACAATCAATCAACCAATCTGAGGTGTATGGCCATGAGCTAAGGTGACAGATTATGCACACGTGAATCCAGTGGGTTGAGAGAATTCAGGATATATCAGAGCTGGGGATATAAGATTGGCATGGGGTTTAACATTTGTTTGTTTTGAACTCTCTGGGACAAGGAGTCAATTATCACTTGTTTGTACAGCACTTGGCTTAACAGATCCCTAATCCTGGATCAGGGCCCCTACATGCTACAAACAATAATAATGCTTTGATCACTGTCACCAAGCTGCAACAAGTAAGCAACGTAGGAGAAGCAACAGCACAAATGCTGAACTACAGAGTGCACCTTGCCAGGAGTTGGAGAGAGGGAGAGGAAGGATACACTGAGAGAACCAGACAGTTCTCATTGTGCTATGCATAGGTGAACGATGTCTATGTGGTTAGATGTGTGAATGAACCTACCTCAGAGAAGCAGGTGTGTAAGAGACATGTATCTGCCCTACGCTGTGCTGAGGCATATGTGCCTGCTTCAGATTTTACAATGATTGATGTCTTTTAAATAAACATGACAACAAGCACGAACCTGCATTTTTCTCTTGTGGTCCTCTGAGCTGTATCTCCGCAACTTCTCCACTACCCCCGACACCAGGTAGTGGGACCGAAAGGTGCGGTTGGGGAACTCCCTTCTGCACTGAGGGCAGGAAGGGACCCGGGAGCACTTGTCCCAGTAACGTTGGATGCATGCCCTGCAGAAATGGTGCATGCATTCCAGCATGACAGGGTCATTGAAAAGCTCACAGCAGATGGCACATGTCAGCTCTTCTCTCAGACTCTCCCCCTGATTCCGGCAAGCCATTCCTGTACACACATACAGTAAGTACATTCCTGGATCTCACATAGAGGGTCAGAACGAAATAAACAGCCTGTCCCCTTTTTCCCCTCACCCACATAGTGTGGACATCTGACCCTCTCCAACACCCACCCTGATACTCTTTCCACACAGTACACTAAGCACACATCAGCAAGCCAGTGGATGAGAGGGCCGATTGCCAGAACTCTGCACTACAGCACAAGTGCCCAGCCCCTAAGGTGCCTCGTGATCTGCAAACTCCCCATGCACTGTCTTTAATATGGGTTTATAAAGAGACATGTTTAAGTTTACTGCAGTGCAACCAACTCCAGACAAGGGGTCAGTTCCTTTAAGCTGGGCTGAGTCTGCAACTTTCACTTCCCTTAACTTCAGCAACAATTCTCAGAGGCTTCTTTGAGTTATTGAGCCTGTGGGCCAAACACTATCTTGGGGAGGGAGGAAAGGAGATGCAACCCTGAGTCCGCTGAGGCACTCTTCCAGTTTTGCAGGGTGCACTCCCTATTAGCAGCTAGGGCAAAGGAAATTGCTCAGCGCTGTTGTGTGAACTAGGCTGCTTTTAGACACCCCAGTGAGTGAAAATTTTCACCTCTCCCTACACTTTGCAGAGCTGGTTCCTGCCCTCCCTGAACTCTTGCACAGCCCTACCCTAATAAAAGATCCGCTCAGCACTGCTCCTCACCCCACATTCCCCTCACCCCACAGACAGCCCCAGCCCTGCCCCACCCCCCCATTCCTCTCACCCCACAGCCAGCCCCAGCCCTGCTCCAAAGATCTTTTAACACCAGACTTGAAAGAGAATCCTCTGAACTGTCATTCATGCTTAAATTCGACACTTTACGCCTCGGTCTAAACAAAGACATTAATTATCTTACCCATTACAAAGAGCTTCCCCAATTATCACCTCTAATCTCATTAACTCACAGACATTTACCTTTCCTCCCCCCCCATCCTCCTTCTGTTCTGAAATGTGATTTGTCCTTTTCATGTGTGTTCATTTTTTTAATTGTATCCTTTGGTATATATGGTTGTGACTACTTTCTTCCACTATTTGATCTGAGGAGGTGGGTCTGGCCCACGAAAGCTCATCACCTAATAAACCATCTTGTTAGTC